AGTTATCAGAGACTTCAGGGTGATACCTGAAACTCTAAAACTGCTAGACGAATACTTAGGCAGTATTTTTAAAAAAAAAAAAAAAAAACATAGGGTCTCAATATGTAGCTGGCCTGGAACTCACTTTTTAGGCCAGGCTAGCCTCAAACTCACAGAGATCTCTCTGCCTCTGCCTCTGCTTCTCAAGTACTGAGATTAAAGTTGTGCATGATCATACCTGGCTAGTTTTTTTTTTTTTTTGGTCTTTTTGACCTTGAATTCACATAGATCCACCTGCCTCTGCCTCCCAATTGCTGGGACCCAGCTAGATTTTTTTACTTTAACTTTTCTGTGGAATTTTGTGGCTAATGTTTTCAGGAATGGTGGCATATATTTGTAATCCTAGCACTTGAGAGGCTAAGGCAGATAGATGAAGAGTTCCAGACCAGATTATTTTTTAAATATTTATAGGACCACCGAGATGACTCAGCTGATAAGGACACTTGCCACTAGGCCTAATGACCTAATTTTGATCCCCAGAACCCACATGGTGGAGCCTACTCTTTCAGTTTGTCCTCTGACCTCCACACATCTTGTAGCATGCACACACACCCCCACATAGACAGACAGACACACAAATAAGTGTAAGAAATAATGTGTTTTTAGTTAATGAGTTTTACTTTTGGCACTGAGATATGGTACCTATATTTCAAGTACAGATAATGAGTGTCATAGACTAACATCTTATCAGAACAGAGATAGCAGACTCATTTTATACTGTAGCTTTAAGTACCTTGGGTAGCTTTTAGTTCCTTCAGATTCAGTTTTGTATGGTAGTGGATTTTATTTTTTATCTATTTATTTATTTATTTAGGTCTTTTTGAGACAGGGTCTCCTTGTAGCTGGGGCTGGCCTAGAACTCTGTGTAGACCAAGCTGGCCTTGAACTCACAGAGATCCGCCTGCCTCTGCCTCCCAAGTGCTGGGACTACAGGTGTGCACCACCATGCCCAGCTATTTTATTTTTTTAAAGATTCATTTATTTTTATTTTATGTGTATGAGTTTTGCTTAAATGTATGTATGTGCGCCATGGAGGCCAGAAGATGGGATTGGATCCACTGAAACTTCAGTTAACCAAGATGGTTGTTAGCCTTTGTGTGGTTGTTGGGAATTGAACCTGGGTGCTCTGCAGGTACTGCAGGTGTTCTTAACTGCTGTGCCATCTCTCCAGCTCCTGGTAGTGGATTTTAAATTCCATGGGACATATGGTAGTATATCTTTGTTTAATTAATGTCACCGTGGGGCTCCATCAGAAATACACTGTAGTAGGTATTGTCTGTCTCTAGGACACTACACAGTGAAGGACCATATCATTCCTAATTCTTAGAACTCATGAGGAAATAACAGTTTTTCTATGAGTTTTAGATGAGCATGATGACTGTGACTTCTGGCACCCCATTGATTGCCAGGCATGATTTGCTGATCTGATTGGCTAGACAGGGCCCTATTTTCTCATGTTTCTATGTATCCTCCCAAAGCTGCACAGAGAGTATGACCTTTCCCTGTAAAGGAGAATGTCCTTTAGTCAAGGTATATAAGTAGCTTCACTCTCCTGTTAGAACCTCCTATCAGGCTCTAGGAGTATTATCTCCCCATTTAGCAATTGGCTGTTGTATACATATAAAATAGTGTGAAGATAAAAACCCTGAAAAATTAAGTTTTAAGCCAGATGCAGTGGCACACTCCTGTTATCCTAGCCCTCTAGAGACAGAGGCAAGAGGATTGCAGTTTGAGTCAACCAGGGTTATGTGGTAAGTTTCTGGCTCCCCTTGGAGGGTATCATAGGGAGGTTATGTCTCAAAAAAGCAAAAGGAAATGGGAGTGGGGAGAAAAATAAAGTTTTACATGCTTTCCTTACTAAAAAACAAAAAAAGTTCTTTTTTTTCACACTTGCCAAACTGAGTCATTTTTACCTTGAAACTGAGTGCACTTGGGGGCTGGAGAGATGGCTCAGCAGTTAAGAACAGTGACTGTTCTTGCAGAAGACCCGGGTTTGAATCCCAGCGCCCACAAGGCAGCTAACAACTGTCCGTAACTTCAGTACCAAGGGATCCAACAGCCTCTTCTGACCTCCGAGGGTATTGCACGACATGGGTGCACTTACCTACATGCAGACAGCACACATATGCACATAACATAAAAATAATAAATAAAATTTAAAAGAAAAAAGAAAACAAGTGCACTCGTATTACTGCCTCTGTCACTTAGAAATTAAAACTGCACACTATTTTGGGCTGAGAATAAAGTTCAGTGGTAGAGCACATACCTAACGTATGAGGCCCTGAATTCAAAACAAAAAAAACCCCTACTATTCTAAAACTGTGGACAGCTAGATAGATGGCTGAGCGAGTAAAGGCACTTGTCACCAAGTCTGACAACTGAGTTCAATCCCTGGGACCCACATAGTAGAAGATCACCCACTCCTGCAAGCTGTCCTCTGCTCTCCTAAGCACATGGCACCTGCATACCTACACACATACCCTACGTATGTACATAAAGTCAAATATAATAAAAATTTTAAATCTAAAAAAAGAGGAGGCTGGAGAGGTGGCTCAACAGTTAAGAGCACTGGCTGCTCTTGCAGAGGGCCAGGGTTTAGTTCCCAACACCCACATTGCAGCTAACAACTCTTTGTAACTCTTTTTCTAAGGGATCCAACACCCTTTTCTGGCTTCCACAGGCATTGCATGCACAGGTACACTTGATGTACATGCAGGCATGTAACACTTGTACCAACATAAAATAAATTTTTTTGTCTTTTTTGAGGGAGGGTCTCCCTGTAGCCACAGCTGGCCTGGATTTGCTGTGGAGACCAGGCTGGCCTTGAACTCACAGAGATCCACCTTCCTCTGCCTCTTGAGTTCTGGGATTAAAGGTATGGACTACCATACCCGGCTTACATAAAATAAATTTTTAAAATTAAAATAAAGATATTTAAAGGTCTGTATATATTTATGTATATGGTAGCATTTTCATGGTGGTTACACTTGGTATATGAAAGAAACCTTACAAGTTTCTCTTTGCAAACAATTGATAATGTTAGTTCTGTAGTATCCATTTCTGTATATTAAGTTTAGCCAAATAGTATTTATCCATTAAAGATAATTTATTTTTTCTTTTCTTTTTCAATAACAGTGCCCAATAGACACCAGGAAGCAATTAGCAGAAAATTTGGTAATCATAGGTGGCACATCTATGTTGCCAGGATTTCTCCACAGATTGCTTGCAGAAATAAGATATTTGGTAGAAAAACCAAAATACAAAAAAACACTTGGGACCAAGACATTCCGAATTCATACTCCACCTGCAAAGGCTAATTGTGTGGCCTGGTTGGGAGGTAAGAATTTAGTTTTTAAAATATAATAATTATAGCCAGGCATGGTGGCGCACACCTTTAATCCCAGCACTCAGGAGGCAGAGG